TCCGATTTGGTATCGATTGCAGAGATTTGAATAGAGTGATCATCAAGAAAAAGCATCCGCTTCTGCGTATTGATGAATGGTTGGACTAGCTGCTGGGAGGTTCATTGTTTTCGAGGATTGTCTTGGCATCAGATTACCACAAGATTATTGTAGCTGAGGGAGATGTGCGGAAGACGGCTTTCCGCTCAGGTTATGGGTATTATGGGATTGTAGGAAACCAATTGGGTTGACAAGTGCACCGTAGCATACGTGAAGCTTATGAATGACCTCTTTCGTGAGCACTTGGATAAGTGTACGATTGTATCTTTGGACGGCACCTTGATGTATTCTTGGAGTAGAGGAGTATGACGAGTATTTGCAGATTGTGTATTGTTGCATGAGGATCAGGTTATATTGCATATAGATGGCGCCAGTTGAGACATACCGAGATCCACTACCCTGCTCATAGTTCAGAGTATCTACAGTGGTATTTGAGATAACATTTTGGAGATTATAATTGTTCAAAGAGGAAGTTCAGATATTCTGGGATCATCAGAGTGAATTTTATCTTCATTCATTAAAAACTTGTATTTGAGGCAGTGCAGTTGGATTGAGTTGGGAGCAAACAACAGTTCAAATATTAACTGTCATTTGGTAAGGTCAACCAGATGACAAATGCTTTGTATAGGAGCGATGTTTAGAGAACCAAGGAGGTTCATGAACTTGTTGGAACACTAGTTAGTCTCAAAACTTTGTGCGATTATTGTAGAGGGATAGACATCAAGCCTTGAGGCTTTGGAGCAGGTAGATTTTCTATGGAGGATACGTCAAACACAGGAAAACTATACGACTTTGGTTATGCAGGTTGAGCCTCAGAATATTGGAAATCAGACAGTTTCAATAAGGATGTACTTGTATCAAAATCGAGTTTGTGTATCGGACGATAATTTGTTAAGAAAATTGATCTTACAGCAAACACATCACTCGCGTTCTTTATCCATCCGGGAAACACCAAGGGATACAAAGATATGAAGTTTTAACTACCATTGATCCAGAATGAGAAAGATTGTAGCTACATTGCTTCACAGTATAGACATGTCAGATGGTTTTGTCCAGGATCAGATATCTTTGAGGTTATGGTTGAGCTTGTTTTTTGGAAGAGTGGAAATGAGGCATGGGGATTATGTATATTTTTACTGGATTTTCGTTCATCGCATGTGGAAAGGATGCCACATGGGTAGTCATAGACATACTTACAAAGCTAGCTCATTTCCTAGTAATTAAGAAGACAGAGCTGATTAGTGGGCGCAGGTTTACATCAGTGAGATTGTTAGATTGCACAGAGTACCTATCAGCATTGTATCGAATCGGGATGTAAAGCTCACGTCTGCATTTTGGAGAGCCTTTTAGGAGGCGCTTGGGTCAAAGGTTCATATGAGTACATTTTACCATCCGCGGACAGATGGTCAGTCAGCGAGGATTATTTAGACTTATGAGGATATGCACAGGGTTGCGTCTTGCAGTGGAAAAGAAGCTAGGGAAACATCTACCTTTACCACAGCTTGCCTACAGTGAAAACTATCATTCGAGTATGGATAAGGCTCATTCGAGTATGGACAAGGCACGATATGAGACTATTTTTGGATAGGCATCATCGTATACCACTTGTTGGACAAAAGTGGGGGAGCGACATGAGATGAATATACTCAAAGTTGGCTTTGGAAAGGCCATAGTTGTAAGAGAAGTTGTGCAAATAAGCGTCATAAGGATTTGGAGTTACAGATAGGCGACCAAGTATACCTGAAAATAAGAACATCTCAAGAAGGATATAAGATTCAAAAGCTAAAGATTCTTAAGCCGAGATATATGAAACCATATCCCATTGTAGAGCGGATTGGAGCAGTGGCTTACAGATTGCAGTTATCAGCTGAGTTGTTAGATTTTCATGACGTGTTCCATCTGTCAGTATTGAGGAAGATCGTGAGAGAGCCAGAGCTCATTTTGCAGCAGAAACACCATGCGATCTCGGTAAAAAATTGTCTGCACCTATTCAGCCGGTTGAGATTTTGGAACGGCAAGGTTCGTTGGGAGAGAGAGGAAATCCAGGAGGAGACCTAGGAGACCGAGACTCAGATGAGAATAGATTATCTAGAGTTGTTTCAGGATGGTATTGGGCAGTGGGTTTATGAATCGAATTCGAGGACGAATTCCTTGTAAGTAGTGGAGAATTGTAACGACCCAAAACCCAGTACAGTTATTTCGGCCCGGCTAGGCCCAGTAGTGTGGCAGAAACCCTAAACTCTTCCTATTTAAAGAGAGATTAATGTTCAGCAGACACGTTTTGAGAGAACAGAGTAACGATTGATCAAAACCAAGAATTTCGAAGTCAAATTTTTAGATTATGTTCTACCTTCTGAGATCTACGTATATCAGAAAACGGATCGTCATTGGAATTTTAATCTAAGAGTTATGATTATTTCTTCGGGACTGATTTCTGCAGATCGGATCTACCAGCAGTCATCTTCATCAGTATTTTCCCGTTGATCCAGAATGAACCAGGAAACGAGCAAGATATCATTGGAAAGATAGCGATGTCAGCTTTTTAGATCATCTTTTCGATCGTTAAACAAAGGTACAGTAAGAAAGTTATTGACGTTTCTTCGTGGTGATAATTAAACTGTGGTGTTGCAGAGGCAGTTCCGAGCAGTCTCAGCGTAAAGGAAAAACGGTCAATCTAAACGAAAGCTTTCAGTCTGGAAATTTGTCAGTAAGTAGCTAGTTCTTTTATCTATCATCCCCACCAAGCGGATCATCATTTCAAATTATTTGTTGAGAGTTATGCTTATTTTCGTGAAAGGTGTTGGTGCAGTCTGCGTTTGCGACCAACTTGGAGGCGAGGCTATTTTGAGTAATCAAACGGTGTCTGATCGGTGTAAACTCTGTGGCTACAGGAAGAGGACGACTAGGAATATATTATGACCGGAGGGATCGAAAAGCTAACGGTCAGTTCTTGAGTTATTCATCTGATTTATCTAGAGTTCAGTTCTGCCAGAATCTTCACATTCATCTATTTTAGAGAGTTCCGGAGTTGCTGTTTTTAGAGCCATCAGGGTCATTCAGTGTTTTCTCAGGTTTTATCAGATTCTGTGGCAAAGGTGAGGGTCTAATCCGTAACTCCCTTACCAATATAGAATTCTTCCTATCGTAGTTTAGATTTCGAAGCATGATCCGTCTGTGTGAATTGAGTCTGTTTGAATCTTGATTGCTAGTTAGTTCATTCTTTGTAAATTGGAACTAGGGGTTTGGAGGATTCAACCGTTGATTGGATTGTGTGATGTTAAGAGATGTTGTTATATATATATATATATATATATATATATATATATATATATAGTTATGAGTAGGGACTATGTGGGAGGGCGGGGGTTCAGGGATGCCTGGACTATTGACGCAACTTTTGAGGGCGGGGGCTCAGAGACATATGGGCTAGCGATGCAACTGTGTGGTGCGCAGTGCAGAGACGTTTGCATTCGACGCAGATTTGGAGGGCGGAGGTACAGAGACATACTGTACTAGCGACGCAGCATATGATATATATCCATATATGGAGATGCGTGGTGTGTGGTCTAGCTATGCACTATCAGCGCATTGTTTGTTCTATGTGATGCCTTAGGTGTCTTGATTGTTCATGTTAGAGCTAAACTTCCATACTGGGAGTTCTATTTACTCAAGTCATTGTGTTTGCGTGGTTAGCATCCCATACCTCACTGAGTGACTCTCCTGTTACTCACCCCTCTTTCTTCTCCCATTTCGGGTGATATTGACGATCAGGAGTGATCATTTCGGACTAGTGCTTTTGGGAGTTTTGTTTATATAATTTTTAGACTTATGTTTTTATCGATATTTTGAGATTTATTATTTTATTTGGATTTAAAGAGTTTGAAGATTACTAATGCGATTTAATAAATGGAGATTTCAGAGATTTTTATTTATTTTATTATTTTGAAAAATGCGGGTGTTACACATCTGAAACGAGTCTTAGTGAGTAATTTTTGCGTCAATTTAGTGTCGTTTCTCGTCTGAGATCATCTTCTCATGTTATAGAAAGCATTGGTTCATCACCAGTAACAACTTTCTTTAACTCCTTCAACCCACAACAATTCCAGAACGCAAACCTCCGACGAAATTGAGTTCATTGTTTAAACTGGTGTGCACCTATAGGGATCATATTTGGGAATGTGATTAGTCAGTAGCTTTCAAATTAGATGATTGTTTTCTTGCTTCTTTTTCTTTGATGTGTTAAGGTTCCGCTTTATTAGATGATAAGAAAGTATACATATGTGGCAAAAAGATGAGAATAGTTTAGATGACACTTTCTTCCCTCCAGTGTTTCTGATTCCAGCTTCAGAGCTTCTTAATGATGCATATCTTATTGATCATCGTTTTTTCCTCTTAGCAGTCTAAATATATTTCATAAACAGAAGTGAAAGGAGATCTGTTGTGGTGAGGTTAAGAAGGAAATTTGTTCTGAAGAAGAATCATGTCTCTACAAAAGGGTCGTATTACCCTGCTGTATATACGGTTTGGAGATTATAAAGCTAGCAGAGTTTATCCCTTAGCAAGGTAGTTTAGTAATCATGATCTCACAACAGCAAAGTTATAACATATACAGTCGTTGATCCCGTTGCTTGGCTTGAACGTGGGTTATAGATATTTACATGGTAATAGTAGAACTATAAAAGCAGTGTTAAGACTTATATATCTCCCTCTCAGTGACAAAGGAATATGTATATATCATTCTAATTATTATTGTTTGAGAGCAAAGGGCTTGATGCATATCAGTTTGTATTCAACCGCCAGGTACACCATACATAATGTATATACATGAACAGATTCATGGGTTTGGCACAAAAGAGAATCATCAAGGACCATGTTATTCTTTACATGTTTTTCTTAATGAACATGTAATCGGCTTGTGGAAGTCAAACAATCGAAGGTGACTATGTTTTAAAAATTCTAATCCGCAACTAACGTCTCAAATTGTATATTACTTCGTTTTGCTTATATAGTTTCTCTACACTTTCTTTGGGACTTTTTCATAGAGATTTTATAAAGCCACAAAGATTACAATCTCAAGATCGGTAAAACGATAAAGAAATGATCTTGTGACTTTCACTGATCATCACATAACAGGAAGAAGCAAAAGCAAGAACTTTGTTCACTTCTTTGAAGAATCCGTTGATGAAGATGATTCCTCTGGCTCTTTCCAAGCCGCTTGCCATTGCTTGTCATATAAGGTTGTCTCTTCGAAAAGACCCTTGAGTTTATCTAAATCTTCATTCTTGCGAATGAAAAGAACTCCAGCTACAGCCACAAACAAGAGTGTTTTGCAGAAGAAGTTTCCCATTTGGTCGACTAGTCCTACTCCCGTAAGGCTATCAACAAAGTAAGCCATGAAGAATCCAATCATCGCAGCACGACCTGTAAAACCAACGAACTTGAGATCATGTATAGTTGCAAAGTGATTTTAATTATGTTGACTTATACCATTGAGGAGTTCAGCTTCGGGTAGATGGTATCTCTTCATCCATGCCCACCATGGAATAATCGAGGTATCGAAGAGGACAGGCTCGTCGTTACTAGTTGTTTCAGGGTTATCTTCAAGCCACTTTCTCCTCTTTGCCTCTACACATTACACAACAATCTGATAACTATTACAAAAACCAGAGCAAAAGAGCTTTTGTAGTAAAGGGATCTTAACCAGAAACGATCACAGAATCCCAATCGGTTTTGCCTTCTTTCTCGAACTGTTTCAGATCCCACGTTCCGTTAACCCACTTCGCATCCTTAAACTTGATCTCCGTCGTTGTGGTTGTCAAATCAGTCTCGTCGGAGGAGCTTTCCGTCGGGGATTTAGCCGGACCCTCCTCGACGGTGACAGGCGTAGGCTTCGGAATCTCTACGGTGGTTGCAGAGACTGTGGTGGAAGCGGGTGTTGAGGTACCGTTGTCTGAGGAGGAGGCTCGAGTGAGGGAGACGAGAGAGAGGCGCTTGGTGGAGAGGAGAGAGAGTGAGGTCTTGGGGATGATGAGGTTAGGGTTTTGAAGTGAAGAAGAGATCGGGGGAGAGAATAACGCCATTGATGTGGACATTTGTTGCTTGCTCGGACACTGTTTCTCTTCTGCTCTGTTTTTAAAGAGTTTGTTTGAATGTGTGGTTCGCAATGAGCTTGGAAGGAAGTGAAAGAGATGCTATCGTTAATCGCTTCGAATGCATGTCGTTTTTGTTTTGTTTTTGGTTATACAACTACGTGACGTTTTTGTGTTCTGATAAAAAACGAGATTATCAATGGACTTCATTTCTATAGGAAATAGAAGCCCATTTCAATTTAGCCTTCAGCCCATAGATAGCCCAAACCATACTTACCTAAACTCAAAACATTATTAAGAGCGGACAAAAAAATAAGAAACTTAAGATTTTGAAATTTTTGAAGAATGTCATGTTTTTTTTGCCTGTTAAACTGTTATTTAAATATGAACTAGATTTTGATCCGCGCTTTTTTATGATTAAAAATTTATATAATTGGGTTTTGTCTTAATTTAAATAATATTTTGATATAAAATCAGTTCACAAAAATTTGTGGGGATGATTGTTTTTCATTAGTTTTTAGTTTCAGTTTTTATTTTTAGATTTTGGTTTTTGGTTTTTAAGTTTCTACTTTTCATTTTCAGTTTTTGGTTTGGGTTTTTAGTTTTTAAACCCGCTGAGTTAGTTTGAACTGATATTACCAACAAACAAATCTCAAATAACCGAACATCTAATTTAAAACTGAAAACATGACAACAATTTTTTTTAAAAAAAAATTGAAATAGTTTTTTTTGTAAATAAATAGAGCAAAAAAATATAACATGTGTTTTCAGCTTTTGGTTTTGGATTTTAGTTTTTAGATTTGGTTTTTGGTTTTGCTTTACAGTTTTTTAATCAGTAAATTATTTAAGAAAAATGAAACAATAAATTATTTAAAAGTTACCATTGAAATTTATCAAAACAAAGTGTTTTTAATTTAAAAATTAAAAAAATATATCAACATGTTTTAAAGTACATGATTTAAATAAATGATTAATAATAGATAATTTTGTTTTCTTAAAAATATTAATTACCTTTTGGGTCTGAAAATAATAATTGATTTTTTGATCTTTTAAAATGAAAAGTTTATTCAATGTTTTTTGGAGTTTTTTCTTAATACTAAGCCCAAAAACCAAACTATATAATTTGTTCCAAAAATAAAAGTAAGCCCAAGACTATATTTCATAAATAACCACTGGTTTAATTTAAGTATAATTAGTAGATTTCCATATTCCATATTTTGATGATATATATTATTTTAGAACATTCCATATTTGTAGGAGAAAATATGTGTTTTCGGTATACACATAGATATCTGCTATATTTTGAAGGTAGTTTACATCAAGGTCGTCTTTTTACATTAATTGTGTTGGTTTAATTTAATTAATACGGTTCAGTCAATTTATATGACTTATATTATTTGTAACATTCTAGAAAGAGTCCAAATTTAAATGACAACTTGTATCAGCAGATAAAAAGAATGACTCTATTTTAATAGAGTAGATTTAATATTTATATCATTAAAGAAATTTATATGCTAATTGGTAACAAACAATTCTATCATTTTTGCATCTAGGTTATGTTTTAGCTCTAATAGGGTAATTAGAATTTTTCGGTTTGGATTTTTTCAGGTTTTGCCGAGTCAGGATCGTTTTGGGTCTTAGATAATTGGACCCAATAGAGTAATTAAAACTTATCGGTTGCGCTCGAATTGATTTCGATTTGGATTATATTGGGTGTAGCTCAAAAAATACCTAAAACGCAAAAAATACTTAAATACCTCAAAAATATTCAAAATTTTACCCAAAATATGATCGAAGACATAAAAATCTAAAATTTTATTTGATTGTTCGAATTATATTTTAGAAAATTTAAAATTTACTTAACACAAAACCATTTTCAAAAACTATATATGAAACTTAAAAATAATACTCATAATATCAAACATACACTAAAACACACACATATATATATATATATATATATATATATATACCTAATATTAGAAGTTTGGATATATATATATATATATATATACCCAACATATCAGATCTTGGTTTTGGGTCGAGTCCAAGATCCAGCGGTCCTTAACAATAAGTGTAAGAGATGGGTTATACCCCTCCACAAGGCCCATCAAATGGAGAAACTTAGTCCAACACGATAATATACTCGGCCCAGTAGATTCATCAAAACGACTCAGCATGAGGACGTGTTTAGTAGCGCGACTAAGAGTATTCTAGAAGAGTCGGCGGAAGTACGACTTACCCGGACTACTAAACGGGCCCAACAAGAATAAAGCCCAATAAGGCTCGGGTAAAATAGGGCGAACACGAAGATAGGGTCTATAAAAGGAGAGAGGCAGCAAGGGGAAAAGCGGATCCGGAATTGGAGATACTCACTTGGCGGCTAGATCTAGGGTTTCTTAGCGACTAAGTGGTTAGATCTAGGGTTTACTCACCTTCACCGTTACTCACCATCTTGTATTTCCGGCTAGTCCGCCTCTTTACTCATCTCCTTGTAACTCCTTGTTCAGATCTAATAAAGAACGTCTTTGTTCGCCCCATCTCTCTCTTTATATTGTTCTTAACCATTTTCACCTCAAACAATTTGGCGCCCACCGTGGGGCTCTGAACAAAGCAACGTTATCAGATCTAGACATGCCAGACGACAGAACCGTCTCCGGAACCGCCGGGGAGGAGCCAACTCAGACTCGCGTACCCGAAACACCCCTTCCGCCCGACTTCATGAGCTCCGTCATGGCGCGTTTCGCCAGACAAGACGAAATCCAAAAGGAGACTCAAGCTCAACTCGCCGCGCTCGTCGCAGCGTTAACAGCAGCTCCCGCCGGGCAGACGAGTAACTCTCAACCGTTCCGAGTTCATCTCTTCAACACTAACCCGACAGCGCCGGTAGCCGACCATACCTCGGAAGAGTCGGAACCCACCGAGCCTCACGCTGCAGAAACAGCTCAAGTCGGCCCAGATCTCACGACTGTCCATGAAATCGCCGAGCTCAAAATCAACCTCCAACAGATGAGCTCCAGGATTCACAAGGTCACTAGCGCCGCTCCACAGATCGAGAGTGTTCTCGCTTCAACCGAGCGTACCCCATTCACCAGTACATTGACTAGCGTAAACTTCCGCAAGATCGAGAAGCTGCGCGTCCCGCAATACAAGCCCGACGGTGACCCTGTAGAACATATGACTGCTTTCAACATCGCGATGGCCCGAGCGCGGCTACCCGACGACGAAAGGGATGCCGCATACTGCCAGCTGTTCGTGGAAACACTACACGACCAAGCCTTGACCTGGTTGTCAGGCCTCAAGGAGAACTCCATCAGCAGCTTCAGAGAGCTTTCGTCGGCTTTCCTCAAAACCTACATCATGTTCACTAAGCGCGAAGCGACAGCCTCCAGCTTGTGGAACCTAAAGCAGACTAAAGACCAAAGTCTCCGAGACTTTATGGAGCGCTTCAAGTCGATCGTCTCAAAGATCGACATCCCTGACCACATAGCCGTCGACGCTCTGATGAACACCCTCCACCTCGATTCCAAGTTCCGAGAGGACCTATACCGAAGCACCTCCACGACGCTCCAGGATGCCATTGCTCGTTCACACAATTTCATCCGCATGGAGGAAGACACGAAAGCAATCATGGGCAAACATAGCACGGCGAAGCCGACGACGCCCAAGACCTCCGACGCAAAGCCGGAGCCGCGTCAACACGCTTCCGGCGACAAGAAACAACAAAAGAGCGGGCTTCTGTTTGTTGTTGACGAGAATAACACGCCAGTCGCAAATTTCTCAGTACGCGGCGAGCCGTGGAACGTGTACAACCGAGAGACGGCAGCCCTGAAAGGTTTGACTAGTCCCGCCGGACCGGCTCAACCCGTGTCGCCGGCTACCTCAGGAGCCGGATCTTCCAAAGGAGTCGACCTCACCAAACACTGTAAGTACCATGACGTCAAAGGACACGATACTACCGAGTGTAGAACGATGTACGCCGAATTTCTTTCATCGGTTGAAAAAGGCGACTTCAAGGTTCAGCCTCCAAAGCAAAAACCAAAATCCAGCAAGAGTTGGTCCAAGAACAAGGACAAACGCGCGCAGCGAAAGTCCGGTAGTAAAAACGGAGAGCAACGTCGTGCAGACGACAAACCTTCGGATGACGCGGACAACGAAGCATCTTCAGCAGACGAGGGACAACCAGCAAGTCGTCAACGTATCGAGGTAATACGATCTCAGCAACCTTTGTCGTCTGACGACAAGGACGATAACTCGCCAGTATCAAGCGACCTGCGGAGCTTCCTCAAGCGAAAGGAGACGACATGCAGTGACGTCAACAGCAAAGACCTCCGCCTCATGCTCCAAGCCAACAAGTCGCGGCGCCTGGAAACCAAAAAGCCTCCCTTGTCGGTCGACAAGCCTGTCACCGATCTACGCGACAAACTCAACGCTAACCTGACTGATTTACGCGAGCGACTAAACTGTTCCAAATCAATTAACCAACGGCTAGAGCGGTCAACTGCGTCCCATACCATGGAACCGTCAAAGCCGAGCGACCAGAATGTCCCTGCGGATCTTCGTACATTCTTAGACATCAAAAGAGTAGCCGCGAAACCACGGCTGAACGTCATCATGGGTGGATCACCTCCTTGTGGTGACTCTGTCCGCTCCGTCAAAGACTACCGGCGCCAAGCCGCGTCTTCGAGACGTTGGCCTACGAAGCCACTAAGCCACACGCCAATCAGCTTTTTCCCCCACGATTTGAACGGAGTCCATTTGCCCCACAACGATCCTCTGCTAGTCGTCCTTGAGATCGGTAAGTACGATATAACCAAAGTACTAATCGACACAGGAAGCTCAGTTGATCTCATCTTTCGTGATACGCTTGAGAAGATGGGGGTAGATTTCGACGACGTCAAATCGTCCTCACGAACTTTGACCGGCTTCAACGGCTCATCGGAAACCGTCCTAGGGACGATCCGTCTCCCAGTCCGCGCATGCGGAGTTAC